ACCGAGTCGAGCTTGGCAGAGGGTCTCGACTCACACGAGCTGCTCCGGCGGCATCTTGCGTTCCTCGACGAGGTACGCGACGCGGGTCGTCAGGACAGCCGTCTTGCCACTTCCCGGCCCGGCATGGACCGCCAACCCTCCTTCCGGACTCGCCGTGACTGCCTTGCGCTGCTCCTCGTTGAGTCGCTCGAGGAACTGAGCGGGCGTCGGTCGGTCAACTTTCAACTTGGTTTGTTTGAGCGCGCCATCATCGCTCTGCACCGGTTTGGACGGGTCTGTCCCGGTTGTTTGAGGATTCTGCGCGTACTCTAAGTCGCTCAGGTCCTCCGGCGGCTCCATGATCGCAAGAACACGAGGTGTTGTCGATGATGGATCAACGCGGACGACAGAGGTGTGTGCCGCTCGTCTGTGCGTCAGGGTCCAGCTTGTCAGCTTCAGAAGTCTCAGAGCGCGTGTGTGCGCGTTCTCAGGCTCGCCTCACCGTTGTCGCTGTGGTGCCGGCTCGAACCGAGACGATGTCAACTTTGCGCGCTGCTTTTCGACCGCAAGCGGCGAACGGCCGACATTTTGGGCAGCACAGCGCTGTACAGTACTGCAGAATCGGGAGCAGCAACACAGTCTTTGGAGTATCGAAACAGAAGAAAAGTCACTATGCAGACTCGAAATACACATGCTGAACTACGTAATTTTGACTCTCGAATTTTGAACCGCCGCGCGCTGACGATGAGTACATGCTATACATGCTATAGCCCCGCGCTGTTGGCTACAAGTGTACCAGGCCGTACGCGCTCGCGCCGGAATTTTCCCTTTCTCCCGATTTTCTCCGACCCGGGCGGCTCACCCGCTCCGGGCCTCCGAGCCAAGCTCCAGCTCTCTTCTCCAGTTTCTCCTCGCTTCTCTTGCCGGGGCTCGGAAGCTTACCTAACCGGCCGGTTCTCGCGATCGAAGCCAATTCCCCCGAGGATTTGCGTGCACGCGCGCGACCAGTGCGCAAGATGGCGACATCGCCGCTGCTGTTGACTGGATTCGCCAAGCGAACTGCTGTCGCCTTGCCTGCGCGCTTTCCCCTTCTTTTGCTTCTCTTGAGAATCTGCTATAGCTTGCCGCCGCCGCCATGTCGACTTTGCCGGTATCTCCCGCAGCAGCTGCTGCTCCAGTCGGCCGAGTCAACTTTTTCAGGTCGACCGTCTTTCAGATCATCGTCGTCGGCCTGATCAGCTTCGTCGGTCCCGGACTTTGGGTGAGACCACGGATTCCTTCTTTTCGCGGTGTTAGGCGTGTTGACTGACTTGTTCCGTACGAACAGAATGGAGGTGCGCTCGCTCTCGAGGGTACTCTTCCGGTCGCGCTTTTTTTGACCGTCCTCGCCCTGCAGCCCAATCCCTCGGAGCCGGCGGTGCTCTCGAGCCGTACCTGGTGAGCTCGATGAACTTCAGAGATAAACGCTTGTCGCTGACCCTCCGCCTTCTACCAGGTCAATGCCGGCAACAGTATCGTCTTCTCCCTTATGGGTCTCGGCTGCATTTTCGCGCCCGTCATCATCAACGCGGTCGGTGTAAAGAATACTCTCCTCGCGGGCACGCTCGGATGGAGCGTGTACACGGCGGCTCTCTATGACAACAATCGATACGGCACGGAATGGTTCGTAATCCTCGGAGCCGTGATCTGTGAGTGCATCTCGTCTGTTCGGGCGGTCGCTAGCGCGGGCAACTGAAGCGAGTTCCCCCCCACAGGCGGCATCTCGGCTGGTCTTTACTGGGTCAGCTTCCGTGGCTACTCTGCTTGATCGCGGCTATTCGGCGATTGACGTTCTCAGCTTTTCCACTCGTGCTCCTGCAGGCTGCGGAAGGCGTGAGTCTACTTCGTCTTGGCGATGCTCGACTTCAGTGCCCTGACTCTACATCCTACTGCTCGCACAGGCTATCGTCCTCAGCTATCCGGAACCGCACAAGCGAGGCCGCTATTTGGCGGTCTGGCTCTTTTTCAAAAACTCGGGAACGATCCTCGCCGGTGCGATCAACCTGGGCACCAACATCCACCGCTCCACGGGAGGCAAAGGTACGTGATGCTTACAGTCCTTTATTTACGCGAGATCTCCGCTGACCGTGGGGAATCGCCAACGCGCAGTCAACTACAAGACCCTCCTCGCCTTCATCGCCCTGCAAGTGCTTGCCCTGCCGTTCGCCTTCCTCATCTCGAAGCCGGAACGCGTACAGCGTGACGACCGGACGCCAGTCCCGTTGCCGCCCAAGACGACGGTCAAGGAGCAGCTCAAGGCCCTGTGGACAGCGTGCTCGACGCAGAAAGTCGGCGTTCTGCTCCCGGTCTTTTTCGTGAGTCTTTCCGACTGACGCCGATCCGAAGCGCCTACTTACGTCACCTGCACTATAGGCTTCTTGGTACTACTGGGGCTATAGCTCGAGCTTCCTCACGCTCTACTTCTCGGTCCGCGCCCGCGCGCTCGCGTCCTTCCTCTCGGCAATCTGCGGCGTCTTCGCCACCACCCTCCTCGGCTTCTTCCTCGACTCGCAGCGCCTCTCGATCGCCGCGCGTGCTCGGATCGGAGCGGCGGCGACTTTCACCCTTTTCAGCGGGATCTTGATCTGGGCGATTGTCGTCCAGCACCAGTTTACGGAGCACAACCCGGGCAAACTCGACTGGACCGACACGACGGGCCAGTTCGGCAAAGGGTTCGGGCTGTACGTCATGCTCAACGCGGCCGGCAACTGCGTGCAGAACTACCTCGTGCGTTGCTCCTCCCTTTTCTACAGTTTCTCGAGCGGGACCTCGGCGGATGCTGACTAGTCTCGCCTGTCTCTATAGTATTGGCTCATTTCGGTTCTCGCCGAGGATCTCGGCGTGTCTGCTCGTTACGCGGGCCTGCTCCGCGGCGTCGAGTCGTTTGGCCAGTGCGCGGCGTTCGGCGTCAACAGCAGTCGCTTCAACCTCACCTACACGGTATGTTGGCGGCTTCCTCCTCGCTTTCTGGCTGTGCCTCTAAATCCCTGACACCGATTCCTCATGCAGGTCGTCATCATCATTGTCTTCTGGGCAGTCTCGCTCCCGTCTGCTTTCATCACGATCCTCAAGGTCGGCCTCGTCGAGGGCTACGGAGGACCGTCCGCCGCTGTCGCAGGCGACGTCGAGAAGCGGGGCTCAGAGGCCGGCGACGATTCCAGCGATCTCGAGGACGAGAAGCGGGAAAGCGAGGAAGACGCGAAGCCGGCGGCGGTCTGAGGACGCTCTCGCTCTTGTTCGGGTGCGAAGATCCTCAACGGGTGTACTTTTATTCTCCTTGGAGCTAGGAGCCAGCATTCAACTCTGTGCAATCATACTACACGCATCTCTTGCTCTGCGATTCCGGACTCGGTCCCCAATCTTTCCCGTGACTGATGTTCGCAGCTCTGCAAAGCCGGCAATAAACACACACAGACTGCCACACTTGAGCATTCCTTACGACAGAGACGGAGTCAGTCCTCCCCTGTACTTCATCATGTCCGGGCTAACAATACGGTGGTAGCGCCGGCAATCGCCACCCTAGAAGATGCCCTTCGCATGCAGGGCGCGCCAATTCTGAGCTCGGTCTTTGGTAGCGTAGGTGGATTTGAGTGGGGGGTTCGGGTCAATGCAAACCGAAGTAGTCAGTGCGAGGCATAGACAGCGACTGATCAGGTGTCGGGTACCGGCTGCAAACTTGAGAGCGGATGCGGCCGCGAGACTTCTCGCAACTATGGTCATGAGAGAAGACCAGTACTGTGAAGAGGGACAAGAGAAGAGTACTGTAACTACCTCTTGATGCGAGCGGCTATAGGACAGCGGTGAGAGCTCGAGCGCCCCTCGCAAGGAAGACCTTCTCAGCGGACAAGCTTATCTCCAGAACTCCTACCGTACCCTCACTGTCCTTTTTCCCGCATTAGCTTGCACAGACAGGTGTAGCAAGTTGAACTGGTGCACAGAAAGCACAGAGGAGGCTTGACGGACCACGTAGCTGTGACGGATACTGTTCAAACGCTTGAAAGTCGACTTTACAGGAAATCTTGTGGGAGTTCCTCTGAAGTCTGGCAAACCAGCGTAGCCCTCTTGATGAGTTCCTTTGACAAAAAGTTGGGAGCGTGCAAACAGCACCTTGAAAGAAGAAGACACTTCGCGCATCATGTTGAATCTGGATCACTGCAGGGCGCCCTCCTCTCAGATGGGTCATAGCGTAGCAGAGACTCGCAGGAACTAATAAAGAAGGATACGAGTATGATTTCTCTGGCAAATTGATCCTTACAAGCTTGACAGAGATAGAGCTGTTGAGACAGGTCTTGATCAGCTTGCCCTCCGCACAATCAACCTGCCTGAGTTTGCGACTAGTTTGCAAATGTTCAAACTCGATTTCTGGTCAAATTCACCTCTCCACCTACACCCTGCTCTGTCTAGTATGTGACTCTAATTTTGAGACTCCTTGGGAGCACTGTCAGTCCAGCAGCTGCTTCACAATCTCAATATTAGGTGGTGAGCACACAGCGGAAGTGGCAGAGATGCGTAGTCTGTTAGTACAAATGGTAGGGACAGGACTGGGAGAGCAGGAGTAAAGGCCGCATGGGGACTACATGGGCAGCACATGTTCACAATATGGGCACAAACTGGGCAGTCTGCGAGGGAACATTTTTGTTCCCTCTGAGTCTGGTCCTGTTCTGTCCTCATACTTTGACCAGCTGCAGGGTCTGAGCAATCCAGCCTGTAGTGCAGCAGAACTTCATTGGCAATGAAGTCTTCGCAGTCTGTCCACTTCTGGAGCTGTTTGCAACTTTCCTGTGTCTGGGCAATGAAAAGGGTTCTATCTCCGAAAAAGGATGTTCACAGAGGAAGGCTACCTAGACTGTATGGCTAGGTGGCACTCATCACCTGCTTTGCTGGTATGCTATGCCCAGGCCGGAAAACCTTTGGCAAAAGGACGGGAGGGCTTGCGCCTGGCGTGCCGAAAAAGGGTGTGCGGCGCCCTTGAGGCGCCGTCGAGGTCCCACTGGGGTTCGAACCCAGGTTGCCTGGAGTCAGGAACTGGACATCCAGTACTTAATCAAAACCAGGTGTTCTACCACTAAACTATAGGACCATTCCGTGGTACAGATCTCAAGTAAAAACAATATAAACCCTGCAGCGGTACGAGACTGGGGATGGCGGGAATTCGCTGGCGGCGATTCGGGTTTCCACCGTCTCTGTGTCTCGCGGAGCCTCAACTCGCTGCTCCTCTTACCTCCTACACTATACGCTCGAGGTCCCTAGGGTCTTGCCGCGCCCTTCCGGAGCTTCAAACGCCGCCGCCGCCGCCCTCCGCGCCGTGCGCCACTCTGGCCCTCGACGCGCCTCACTGCCGCCCGACTCACCGGGAAAGGCCGTCGCGATCATAGCAGGTTGTAAGATACACTGTAAGAGAGGAACCGCAAGGACAAGGCCTGAGGCGTGCGTTGTTGAGCGTTTGGAGAGAGCGCGGCGAGAGGTCGTCCCTCCCGTTCCCGTCGCGCCTCTCTCTGTCGCCCTTGTCCGTGGTAAAGGGTGTCGCGGCCGTAGCTGGTGGTGTTTCATACTGCGCGAGGGGAACAGCAAGGACAAGGCTGAATGCGAGGGTTAAAGAGCGTTCGAAATCGAGTGTCGAGAGTTGTCTCTCTGATTTCAGACTCGCGGGGGTCACCTTGGCTTGCGCCTTCGCTCACATGGCCGCGGTCTGTAGCTTAGCTTTGCATGACAAACTGGGCAATATACCACCGTTTTAAGCAAGGAGAAAAGCGAGGCTGTGCGTCGTCTCTCGCATCTCAGACTTGAGCGGCGCCTCGACTTGCGCCTTCGCTCCAGTCGGCATGGCGATAGTCTCTAGCTTAGCTTTGCAGACGGGCAAGATAGTATTTTCAAAGCAAGGAGGACGAGAAAAGATGAGAGCGTGGTCGCAAAGAGTCTCAAGCTACCGCGGGGCCGGGAGCGCAATCGCCAACGATCTCGGCGCGCAAAAGGCTATAGCGGGCGCACTTGTTCATTCAAGAGCATGTATACAAATACTTACCGCGCCGCAGACCTCGGCGGCATTGAAATCGAGTAAGAGTCGTCGGCAGGGAAGGCGAGCTTGCCATGCGTGCGCCAGTGGAACAGCGACAGTCGAGCTATCAGTGATTCGAGCAAGACGAGGGCTTGGCCAAGCCATGCCGGGAGATTGTCCGCCGAGATACGGAGCGATCGGGGGGCGTTGAGCGGGGCGAAGAGGATTCACCGCGGGGATGAGCATTCGGACTCGCCGCGGGTGCGCCACGATTCGGGTCGGGCGCATCCTGGCGGGAGCCGGGACGAGCGAGCGCGAGCGTGTAGCATTCTTCGAGGCATCAACGGAGCGTCTTGAACGAGCCAGCAGCTGTGCGCGTCAGAGGGAAGCTGAGGTGAAATTTTGTCGGCGCCCCAAGTCGAGCAGTGGTCGGGGTGAGTCGGCGAGGCTGCCTGTGGGCGCAGGAGGCACGGTCAAAGCAGGAGCTGAGCGGATGGACGTAACCATGCAGTCAGAAGCACAGGGGACGAGTGCCCGGGCTGCAGAGAGGTTGCCGAGTGGTTCGGCGCGACGAGGGCCGGCGGGCGGCGACTCGTTCCGACGCGTTGCCAACCCGATCTTCTTCTCTCTCCTCACTACTCGCACCAACTAGTCGCAGCCACAGCCATGTTCTCTGCCACTCGCACTGCTGCCGTACGCCCGCCGTCTCCCTCTCCCTCTCCCTCCCTGCCTCTTTCCCCCGTCCTGGGCGCACCACCCTTGCCCGCGTGCACCCCATGCTGACCGGCTCCCAACCCCTGACCTTGGACGTCGCCTCTGACGCACCTGCAGCGCAAGGTCACCAACGCTGCCGCTCGTCGCAACGTCTCGGTGAGTGCTCGTTCCTCCTCCGAGCCTCCACGGACCCGTCTCGACTCGCGACGATGCGCCCTCGCTCTTCTCTCATCGATCAGACGACTCGACGCGCCCACGTGCTCTCACCTCCGCGGGGCACGCCTGCAAGACCGCGTATTCCATCAGGAGAATCCATATGGATCAGAGTCGATTCCACTGGCGCCCAATCGGGGAGATCTCGCGACGACTTGCACCCACTCGACCCCCGCGACGGCACGCCGCGGCAATCGCCCCCAAAATCTCGCTCGCCCTCGACCACATCGCCCGTGATCGCTGGCCACCCTCAAAGCACACTCAACTCTCGATAGAAGAACGGGAACTGACGCAAACCCCTTGCACAGACTGTCCGCGAGACGCTCGCGCAGATCATCCCCGAGCGCCAGGCACTCCTCAAGGAGATCAAGTCGCAGCACGGCGCCAAGACCCTCGGCAATGTCACCGTCGAGCAGGTGATCGGTGGCGGCCGCGGCATCAAGTACATGCTCTGGGACCCGTCGGTCCTCGACGCCGAGGAGGGCATCCGCTTTTGGGGCCGCTCGATCCCCGAGTGCCAGCGCGACCTCCCGACCGCCGAGGGCGGCAAGGAGATCCTCCCCGAAGCCATGTTCTGGTACCTCTTGACCGGCAAGGTCCCGACCGCCGAGGAGACCAAGCAGTTCCAGGAGGAGCTCGTCGGCCGCTCCGAGTTGCCCGCGTACGCCGAAAAGGTCCTCGACTCGCTCCCCAAGACCCTCCACCCGATGACCCAGTTTGTCATCGGTGTCGCCGCGTTGAACCACGACTCCAAGTTTGCCGCCCAGTACAAGGCCGGCATGAAAAAGTCCGAGTACTGGGTCCCGGCCCTCGAGGACTCGCTCGACTGCGTCGCCAAGTCGTTCACCCTCGCCGCCCGCATCTACAACAACATCTACCGCAACGGCCACGACTCGTCCGTCCCGGCGATCGACAAGTCCAAGGACCTGTCGTTCAACTTTGCCAACCAGATCGGCTTTGGCGACTCGGAGGGCTTTGTCGAGCTGATCCGGTTGTACAACTCGCTCCACACCGACCACGAGGGCGGTAACGTCTCGGCCCACACGACCCACTTGGTCGGCTCGGCCCTCTCGGACCCCTTCCTCTCCTACTCGGCCGCCCTCGGCGGTCTCGCCGGTCCCCTCCACGGCCTCGCCAACCAGGAGGTCCTCCGGTGCGTTGCCCGCGCGCTCTCTTTGGGTGACAGTTGGATACTCACGTGCGCGCGCGGCACAGCTTCATCCTCGGCATGCAGAAGGAGCTCGGCGACAACGCCTCGGACGAGCAGGTCGTCGACTTTATCTGGAAGACCCTCAACAAGGGCCAGGTCATCCCGGTGCGTGTCCTTCGTCGAGCGCAAAGAATTTCCTTATAGCTTACACGCCTCGATCTTCCAGGGTTACGGCCACGCCGTCCTCCGCAAGCCGGACCCGCGTTTCATGGCCTTGCAGCAGTTTGGTGTCAAGCACCCGGAAACCGCCAACGACCCGGTCTTCAAATACGTCGACCAGCTCTACCGCGTCGCGCCGGGCGTCCTGACCGAGCACGGCAAGACCAAGAGTGCGTTCTCGTCGTCAGCTTCGTCGTCGAGCGTTCTTGATCCCCCCGCGATGACCTGACATGATTTTGTCCCTGTCGCACCTTCAGACCCGTACCCGAACGTCGACGTGAGTCCTTATGCCTCTTTTCTCCCTGGGTGTCTGCGCATCTTGACGGGCGGCGTGGCGGACATGGGCTGACTACTTCTGCCTCCCTCCTCCCCGTCAGTCGGCCTCCGGCTCGCTGCTCTACCACTACGGCCTCAAAGAGACGGCCTACTACACGGTTACGTTCGGGACTAGTCGCGCCATAGGTGCACTGTCCCAGCTCGTCTGGGACCGCGCGCTCGGTCTTCCGATCGAGCGCCCCAAGTCGCTCTCGATGGAGGCCATCCTTAAGCTCGTCAAGTAAGCTGCACACTCTTGAACTGAGTGAGGCTCATAGCAAGCAAGAAGTAGAAAAAACCCCACGCATTTTGTTGGAGGAATGCAGTCTTTTGTTCATGAGCGACGGGCTTGGCAGAGTCTTCCACGTCTGCGCGCGAGTTCTGCCGCCCTAGTCGAGCCCGCAGCCACTTCCTTCACCAACAGCTACCAGCTGCGAGGTGATTCATGCGGTGGTTCCGCTGGCGCACTGCCGTCGGAAGCACTTCAATTGGGAGCGAGGCGCTTTGGACGAGTCCGAGCGGTCTCAAGCTTTCCGCGGCGCGTCTCGTCGGGGCGCAGCTTGGAGCAAGTAGAAGAGTCATATCTCTTTCTCCGGCGGGAGCAAGCAGATATGCAGCCGTGTAGCGAGGCCTCCGAAGGACGCCGAAAGCTCGATGACGCCTTTTCCGAATGCGAGCCTTGCGGCTGCTGTTTGCAGGACCAGGGCGCAGGCCGCTGTGCAGGGAATTGACAAGTCTCTCATAGCAATACGACCCTGCGCATTTGTGGTATGTGCATCAGCTTGATTGCGAGCAGTGGGTGAGAAGGTCAACTTGCGCGAGGAGGCCAGGTTCTTGCTCCGACGTCGAGCATGCGACCACGGCAGCAATAGTGGATCAGCAGGAGACAAGCGAGCGTAGAGCACACGGAATGAAATGGAGGCATGCGTGTACATGTCTTTTTGGCTGCCTCTGAGCGATGCCGAAAACTCGACAGTTGAAACGCTGTCTCGAAATCAAGCCTCGCGGGTTGTCCTCTTAAGCTTGCGGAAGCAGAGCGCAGGTCGCCTCTCAGATGACTTCTTAAGTTGACTCAGATCGAACACACTTCATGCAAGGTGGCGCGACAGCACCGTCTGCCGCGGGAAGTAGAGGCACGTGCGGTCTCATCGCGTTTGTCTCTGCGCCCAGCGTCGGTTCAGAGAGAGACTCCCACAAGTCGGCTGCACTCAGTGTGCCTTTGAAAACACACAATGGCTTACAGTCCACGCCGGTTTCGCTCGCCCCTCCACCCCGTCCAATGTGCTTTCCCACAAGAGCGCAAATATACTCAAGCCAGTCGCTTACACCTCCGTCAATGCTTCCGGCAACAAGCTTTGCGCCAGGCTCAAATTCCGTTCATGACCTTTCTGCTGTATCTCTGTCTAGCAAGCTGCTGGTTTTTGCCAATCATGACAATTCTGAGAAGGGATAGCGAGAGGTTGGTGCGGAGGAC